AGCCATGGTCAGTGCAGAGAATGAGATGGAGTTTTTGTTAAAATTCATCTCTGTTGGCCAGATTTTATCTTTAGGTCTTAGGCTTGTTCAGAGTCATAGTGAAAAGAAACTAAGAGGGCAAAGAAATACTAATGCTGGCAAAGTCTGTCCTATCTTCAGCTCTTGAATGAAGATCTAGAGGTTACAATTGGCATAAATGCAGCAGTGCATTCTCATTCCCATAAGCAAAGTTATGGTGGCCTGTAATTTCAGCTGGCAGTCAGAACTGATTTTCTGATACTGCCGGTACAGTATGTATTCTTCCAACCACAACTTGTCATAAGCTGGAAGAAGAATTTCTTTAGTCTTAAATTATTTACTTTTGTTCTAGTCAAGGCTTAAGTCCTCACTGCATGTGACTTTCTTCACAGAAGAATAAAATACCATCATCCTATCTCAAAAGGTCATCTACTCTTCTGCAATCAGGGATTGTGAAGAGCAGCTTGCAGGAAGCATTAGGGATGAGGGATGGCCAGCATTGCTTCAATGAAGTCATGTATTTGTTGTGGGATTTTTTTTAACTGACGTAAAAAGTTTCAAAAGCTTGCTTCTTTGGGAGAGATGGTTAAAACACACTGAGGACAATTGACATTGCCAGCTCTGTAGTTTCATCATGGAGCTGTTATTCACTGTTGGTCAGAAAGTAACACTGTCGTGTGCTTCTGTAAGAAGGCTCCAGGCACCTTTATATCTCATTCTGCTCTGTGAAAAACACCCACAGCCATGCATTATTTGCTGAGGAGTGCCTCAGATGCATCACAATAATGCCTTTTGGTGTTGTCCCTTTTCTTTTTGACTTTCTCAAAACACGTGTCAAAATTGTTTCTTACATTTTTATTTATTTGTTCGTATGTGTGCATATGTCCAAATAGACACAGTGTGTGCATGTACCTGTGTGTATGATGTGTGTATATGAAATACATATAAATGTATCAGGTCCATTTTGTACCAGGCTTTGTAGGCTTTCCTCATGTAAATCTCCTTTCACATGTGCATGGAGTGATTTTTCCCTCAAGGATTTCTCACTTTGGTCACAGTGTGCCGTAGCTGCAGCCCCACGACCACGAAAAGGGGCTGGGGGCAGGCACTGCTGCCAAGTCCTGCCCGAGAGGGTGATGTGCTGAAATGGGCGGCTGTCTGCTTCCTGGGCCTCATGTGCAGCTCCAGAGCAGCCTCTGGACAAAGCTGCAGGGTGCTTGCTGGCTCCTGCAGTTCTAGTTTGAAACTAAACTAAGCTTGGCCTTGGGGAGAGGACTAAGGCCTGGACAGGGCAAGTGCAGCTGGGCTAGTAGAGGTCAGCTGGGGCTCCCTTGCAGAGAGCCGGATGCTGCCAGATAATTTCTGCCACTTGTGTCCTCCTGTGGTGTGGCTTTGCTCCTGTGTGCCATCTTCCCTCTCTCACACCAGGGAGTGCTTCCATTGCATGTCTTCCTTCCCGCACAGGGTGTGGCACTGGAGCCCCGTGGGAGGGCCGGCCTGGCTGGTCCCTGCCCACCTGAGTGCACTGTGTGGGACGCCCTGAGGGCAGGGCCAGCTGAATGACATCCTGTGCTTTCCTTTTCTCTCCTGACCAGGTCCTGGAGGCAACCAGGGTGAACCGCAGGAAGAGCGCTCTGGCGTTGCGCTGGGAAGCTGGCATTTATGCCAACCGAGAGGAGGATGAATAACCACTCTGCAGTGTGAAGACAGCAACCAGGCATGCCAGAACCAAAAAAATGAGAATGGAAGAAAGAAAAAAAAAAAAGCAAACACAAAAACCCACCATGAAAGCAGCAGCATTTTAGTCCAGTATTTATTAAATACACAACAAACTCGATGCACATAGACACAGAAATGATCCAGCTCCTGGCAATCCTAAAACTACAGGAAAAACACACCTAGAAAACAGCCCCTTCTTCTTCCCTCCATCTCCCCTCTGAAATAATGCAATGGAGAGGGTGCAGGGGTGGGAGGCCTTGGGGTGGGCACAGGAGGGTGATTGCGCCCACGGACCAGACAGGCTGCAGGCATGTGTCAGGAAGTGATTTGTGGAGGAGCCTGCGGCCAGGGTTCACACCTGTATTTCTTGCTGACTGAATTGCCAGCCCTGCTTGTCCCCAGGACCATGGTAGCTCCTGTCAGAACCTCCTGCAGTTCCTTCGCCTCCCACAGCCGCTGCACAAGACCGTCAGCATTAATTCGGCATACTCTTATCCAGCCACAAAACACAAAGATACTGCCCTCTGTTCTGTTTTTTTGAGGAGACTGAAGGGTTGGGTTTGGGATTGGGTTGGTTGGGTTTTTTTTGGGAGGGGGGTGTGGGGTGTGGGTTGTGCTCCCCTTTCTAGCAGTTTATCTGTTTAAAACAAGAAAAACCCAACAAACAGGGAGGCAGTTACTGCAAATGTACAATCCAGCAAACTCAGTCAAACAATCCTTGTGTTGCAAACACAAGCCATCACAATTTAGGAGTGGAATAGATGGGGATGAGAGCTAAGCCAAATGGATTACCTTAGCTTTAGGATCCTATATGCTTGCAATATCACCTGAACTCCAGGTTCTCAGAGCATATTTACGCAACAAAGTTTCTAAGTAGAAAATCTGTATTTAGCGGATGACAACTATTTTTTGATGGTGGGGTGGGAAAGAATGGCATATGTGTAAAATCTTTGAAGATGGATAATTTGAAGTAGAAAGGTAGTGGGAAAGGGATACAAATAAAGGACATTTAATTTTTAAATGAGGCAATAAATGAACTAAGCCAGACTCTGGCCTAGAAAGAGGTATGAAATAAAGAAGAAAGAGAGTTATGTCTTCAACTATATTTATACAACTTAAAAAGCCTTTGAAGTAGAGTGCTTTGTGGAAGTCTTCACGTTTCCAGGCAACAAAAAAGCTAAAGGGCATAATGAGTTGGAAGGAATGAGCAAGGAAGAGCAAACAAGGGAAGAAAATATTATTTTAGCTGTTCAGCCAGTGTTTTCAGCGCTACAAGCAAACCATAGAGCCTTTAGTTACTGCTTAGGCTTGGGATCAGCAGTGAAGGATTAGTGTCTGTGTGTGTGTGGGTGTGTGTGTGGGTGTGTGTGGGTGTGTGTGGGTGTGTGTGGGGGAGTGCATGAGGCTGGCATACCACAAAGTGTATGGCAGTGCGTGCACTGATTATTTTCTCCACAGCTGTTTACCAGCTATAGGGGTGAGTGCTATTTTTTTTTTTTTTTCCGAAAGGGGATATAAAAATAAGGCACTGAGTTAATGCAGTATTTGTGATATTAAAATTTGACCCAACATGGTATTTGCATGAGTCACAATTGCAAAGTATTGACCAGTTTTGTAAGCTGACGATTAGGAAATGTGGTATTTATTCTTGTGCTTCATATTTGTATGTAGTATAGAGGCTGCGGGTTTACTCTTTCTTATCACCAAGCAATACAATAGGAGTATTTTACAACTGGGAACCATAATTTCTGGACTAGAAACCAAAACATTTGGGAGGTGATGGGAAAGAAGGCATCAAGCCTTTTTTCCCTAAAAAATATTCTTTCTTTTTTATAATCAGTTATTATTTCGGTATCTTTAAAAAAAGTCATCAGCCAGAATACTGTGTCCTCCCTAAGCCATTCCGTGGTTTCATGACCTGCTGTGCTGTTTTATCCTGAAACAGTGAGCTCATTTAAAATGAGTACCAATACTGTGAACATACTTCTGGTGCTTTTTTTAAACAAACACAGAGCTTGCAACCAAATTATTCACCACCACCACACTTCAGTTCCTCCAGCATGTGATTTCTGTCCGTGGACACTTACAATTTTCAGGCTTATTTTCAGGGAACTGTAGTAAATACATTTATATCTACCCATTGACTCAGTTCTTTCCCTGTCCCCTGTAAGTGCTACTGAACTGAAGAAAACCTGCTGAACCAGGAGTTCACTGGATGAGGGCAGCAAGCTTATCTCAAGGAGAGGCACCATGGGGAGGTTCCATGCCTGTGAAAGAGTTGTGTATCTAATGAAGTGGACCTGTTTTTCTGGCATGGTAATCAAGGGTGAATCAAGGGCAATCAACCCTGGACTACCTTCCCAGGAGCTTGCATCTTTATTTTCTTTAGTCTGTAGGCCTGTTTTTCCTTCCAGCTTTCTCACTGGAGGCCAGTGACAACAATTACCCATCATAAGGCATCTTTTCATGCTTTGTTCTCTGTTATAGAAGCATTTCCCTTCAGTCCCTGCAACAAAAGTATTTCAGTCCAGGACAGACAGACTTTTCACCCAGCAGTTTTTCTCTTCCAGAAATTATGGACACTTATAGTCAGCAGCACATTTAGTGCTGTGGTAACAAGAGTGAGATGCAGTTTACTTGCCTCTGTTGTTTCATTTGCATGCTACCAAGCTTAGATGTTTATAAGTATACGGCAGTAATACATATCTATCTATATATGACTATATCAAATGCAACAAAAGAGCACTATTGCAGAGTTAACTTTGTCTCCACAAAAGAAATGCTCAGATCCTTTCCCGTGGCAAAGACTGGTTTTAATGAAACTGTGTATTGAAAAATAGTTAAGCATTAGCATTTGTGATTATAATTGGTTTGAGGTTACAGTGCAGGTTTTCTGAACAATTTGTTTTTAAAGCTGCCGATTTGGGCTTCATCTTGCTCTGTACTGACATTTCTGAGGGAGAATAGACTAGTCTTGACTTGTTTGGCAACCAAAAGGCAGCATCTTTGTCATGACTTATCAACCAGTTTCAACAATACCTGGCTTTCTGTATGTTAACCACTTAAATGTTATCCTGCTTCTGTTTTATAGTGACTGTGAGGCCTACAATGCAAGTATATAATTATTTTCTCATTAAAATAGAAACCTGTGTTGTGTTTCTATAAAACTGCCTGTTTCTTCATGTTATTGCAGGAAGATGTGCCCCTGAAAGCTGCATGTGGCTGGAATAGAGTGGTCTGTGTCCCACCTCCTGTGGCAATCACTCGGTCTCTTCCCGTGGCTCTTGACTTGGTGTCTCTGTGTAGAGGTGGGAGAGATCTTTCCCCACTTGGTGGTGTCAATTGCAGGAACAAGAGCATTCCTGCACATTTCTTTTCCACTGTCATGCTTGTGGAGGTTTGCAGAGGCCAGATATGATCAATCTCATGACCTTTCTTTCCTTGCTTCCTTCACCCCTGCAGGAGCCGCAGTGTGCTGTGTGGCAGAGCACACCCTTCAGCCAGCTGTCCATTTGTCACACGCCTGCCTGCAGCAGCCAGCTGCTGGCCCATTGGCCTCACACCCCTCGGGGTCAGCCAGACGAGGGGAGATCCCCTGCCTTGCCCCTGCCAGGAGGCTGTGCCAGCTTTTCCCTATGAGCTGGGAGGGGCCGGAGCACCGGGCATGCACCTCAGGAGGGCCACAGGGACTTGTTGGGATCTGGCCAGGTTCATGCCAGCCTCTGCCCCTCCCTGTGCCGGGAACAGTCAAGTATTTAATTACAGCCCTCTGTGGGAAGCAGCAGAGGACACTGGTGATTTTGGTGGGAGTTGCCAAGGGACAAGTGCTGCCTGCAGTTCGTGCTCTCCATAACACCAGCCCTCTTCTCCCTGTGCAGACAGTATCAGAAATGCCTATGGAGAAAATCAGTTGTGGATTTACTTACCAGTGTAGTAAATGGAAGTCAAGAAATGGGCTACAGAACAAGCTTGAAAATTTACCCACCTGTTCCAATCCCTCTGTCTTTGAAAAAAAAGGCATTGTTGTCTTCTCAACACAGGAGAGGCTTTCTGTCTTCCTCTGCCTTGCCTTGCTCTGTGCCAAGAAGGATGGTGTACTAGTGGCACACAGTGGGAAAATGAACTCCTTGGCATCTTCTTTAGATTTTAAGTTAATTAAGAGTAAAAACTGGACTTTTTCAAGGAAGCATTCAGACATTGCAAAAGTAATTCAATTACACCGGTGGGTGGCAGCAGGTCAGGAATTTTGCAGTTGATTCTGCTGTTATCAGCTGTTGTTATCTGTTTCATAACACACTCAGAACATTTAAAATCTTTGTCACCCCATTGCATAGCTGAAATGGCATGTGCCAAACGTCAGAGTGTTTTTGACAATGTAAGTAAGGACTATAGAAAAGCATTTTATCAGTAATTTCTGTCATAGCCCCATGGAAGTTGAAGATACTGCACTTCATTTAGTTTCAGGTGGCTTTAAGAGGCCCCAGAACAATGGGAAAGCAAATAGAGAGGCAAAGAATCTCCTCTACAGAGCCAGGTTTGATGAAATTGCTTCAAAAGGAGGGAAAGCATTCAATAGTGTTTTCAGTTGTTTTCAGACTGAGATCCAAGGGCTATCCTGTCACTCAGCAATAACGGGGAAAACAAACTAACAAAATGCTAAACAACAAACAAGCAGCAGGAGAAAAATAACAATGCTATCTAGAGTTCATGGTCTGGTGCTAGCTCTGGCTGAGCACTGATTAATTGGCATCGTAGCCCACTGCTTTATCAATGGGGTCTTTAGGAAGAGAGCTTTTGCAGTAAGCACTAAATGTGGGAAGCAGTGTGAGAGCTCCTGCTCCACTCCAGGCATGTGTCAGCTCTGCAGTGGATTGAGAATGGTATATCCCCAGGAGCAGGAAATTATTCAGGCCTTGTTACAATCTAGAGTGTGGGAGCAGCGGCAAGAAAATCGATGAAGGAAGAAAAATGTGCAAAGCCGCCCTGTCCCATTCTCTGTTCCTGCAGACGGCACGGGGAGCATTGCGGGGTGGGGATTTGTGTGGCAGCAGTGACATCTGCAGAGGGGATCGCACTGACGTGGTGAGAGCTTCATTTCCAAGGACGGGCCCTGAAGACAGATCCTTGGGGCAGCCAGTACGTGGGAGGGATGTGGTGAGCGATTACCCAGGGCCTGTTCAGTGCCGAGCTCACTGCTGTGGCACCCCTGCCACTAATGCAGGAAGGGCTCCTGCGGCCCGCAGAGCATCAGGCAGAGAGCCATGGCACATGTCACAAACCTCCCTTGGGGAGACACTTGGGATTCCCAGAAACAGCTGCATGCACACCCAGTGCCCTGGTCATGGCCCTTCCTGCAGGAGGCTCCTGGGGCACACCAGCCCTGCCAGGGAACCACTGCTGGCAACAACTGCAGGCTATGTGCTGCCTTGGCAGGTGCAGGTGCAGGATCATGGCTGGACACACAGAACACTGGACAAGGGGCCTTACTGCGCTGAACCCTTCTTGTGGGACATGTTACTGGCTGAGAAGGTGGATGCAGAGCAGGGGGAAGGAGGAGGAGGCTAGAAACTGCTCCACAAAATGGGGAGGATTTCATACTGAGCTGCAGTGGACACACCAGGGCAGTGCTGTCCCTGTTGGGATGTTACTCTGGTGACCCAAAATGAGCCAGGATGCTTATGTACAAATGACCCCCACAAGTACTTCTTCCTCTTGTAGTATCTGAGAAATCTGAACTTATATTAAAGTGAGCATCAAGTCCTTAAGCTGCAACTGAAACACACTAAACCAGGAAAATGTTAGCAAAAACACATGGATAATCACACAGATAATGACATGACCTTGATGAAATAGCTTTTCACAGGACTCACATAAGGTTTCCAAAGTGTTGCTGGCAACAATGTTGCAGTGTTCAAAATTATTGCCATCATTAGAATAGGGGAAAGAGGTCTCTGCAAAGCCTTGTCTCCATGGAGAAAGGTGGGGTTCCCAGATATGCAATGGGAGTTGACTTGCTGGACAGCTTTCTAACCCCCACATTGTGTGGAGGTGGCAGAAGGTATTCAGCCCTAATTAATTGGAGTGAAAGAAGGAAGATGCCAAAGTAGGGCACTTGCTCACTCTCCAACAAGGCTTGTTTGCTTCTAAGACCGTGGTTTTGGGGTACAGCTCCAGCCCAAGGTGGACCCAGACTTTCACAATATTACCTTTTCCTCTCCCTGCCTTCTCCTTGCCTTCTGCTGTTCTCTTCTGGTTTCCACATGGTGCTATTGACCCCCACAATATGGCTGGTTTTGGGCACCAGGACTGGGTGGTTTCTCTGGGCACAGAGGTCTCTCACCTTGCCTGCGCTGAGCCTCCTTACTGGCTACCCCTGCAAGGCCCCACCAGCTCCCAGACAGATTCCCTCCAGGCTGGTCTCCTCTCCCCAGGTATTTCACTGGATTCACACTTTGCCAAATCATCCTATTATCCATCCCATGGAAGATGGATAAACTGAGAACCGTGAGATAAACCTTAAATGGACTAAATCCAAATGGACCAAAGCACTTAGATAGCCATATACTGTAAGGGCCTTGCTCTTTGAGGGCCACACAGCACTAAACTCAGCTGGAAGCTCATGGACTGTACTATAAAATTATGAGGATATGTTAGTGGGACTGACTGGAAAGGGTGTTGGGGGAGAGCCACGTCAAACAAAATTCTTCTCTTTGTTGTACTGCTGATGACAAAAGGGCATGATTTCTGCTTTTCTTTAATGCTGTGTTTGAGGAAAACAACTGCTGAACAGAAGGCAGGCTGAGCTTGTATGCAGTGCAGAGAGTAGTTTTTAAAGAAAAAGGTAATTGCAACTTGTGGGACTTGCTGAATAAAGTGATGATTGGTAATGCAGGTCAGAGTGGTATAAACAGTGGAAAACAGAAAGATAAATGGGGGAAAATCATGCTGATGGGAATTTTTCATGGAGAAGCCATTTCAGAAGCCAGCGGAAAGCATGATCAGGCAATGTTTCTGCAGGGGTGGAAAGTATACAGCAAAACACGTATTTACCCAGGCTCTCTGGAAACCACAAAAAAGCTCTTGTCATTTACAGCCTGAGTCTCACCTGCTGCCAGGCCTGGACTGTGGTGGACAAGATTCAGCTCAGCTGCCCTCCTTAGCCTCTGTTTGCTGGGTCAGTCTTCAGCAGAAGGGAATCAGGAAATAGCTGAATGATATCATTGTTCATGAGCCTCATAATTTATTGACGTGAGGACTCAGAGTTTACAAATTAAAAGATGTGTCAATATAGTCTAAGCTTTGCTGGGCGTTTCCAAGGAATGTATTATAAAGATGCTCAAGCACTAAAGGATCAAACCAGCATTTTAGTACCTCAGTGGGCTCTATTTTTCCAATCCTGTTTAATCTCATGTTCCCTTCCTGTACAGAAATATTAAATCAGTGTGGTTTTAAAATGTCAGGAGCTCAGTTTATTCTCCAGGCCCTAGGTTGCCCTGGTTACGAGTCCTTGCAGAGGGTGCCCTAAAGTTCATTGCCAGACATGACTTGCTAGCTGCTAATAGTTCCCACTGGCATCTTGGAGGTGAAGTCCAACATAAAATCCCTGAAGGTGACAGCTATTTACCCTTGGAAAGTGGTGGTGTGGAAGTGCATCCCATGTGGCAGTGGGAGGTGTGATCTCACATCCCCCACCCCAGGTCCAGGCCCTGCAGCAGCAGAGCAACCTCATGGACAAGAGCAAGAGCAGCACGGTCCTCTGGAGGGCTCCTGATGTGACCCTCAGCCGTGTCCTGCTGCTCCTCAGCAAACAGAATGTCTCAGGCGCTGCAATGGCTGGCGATAGCATGTGCCACGAGGGGAGTATAGCTGGCAGTCCTCACTTCAAGAGCATCACTGGTTCCAGGCTGGTCACCAGGGTACAAAGCCATGCTGAAATAGGTAAAGTGGCTGGGAGATGTCTCCCCATTGCCCATATGCAGTTAATCAGGAGCTTTGAAACCATTGCCCAGAAATGCAGAGGTTGTAGTGGGGAAAAGCAATGCTGTTCTCAACTAGTATGGCCATTTCAGCATCTACACAATGGGCATAAAAGAAAAGTTTTAGCTCAGGGAAGCTTTGAATATCCACAGTGCTGAAGTCAAGCATTGAGGAAATAGCAAATGCCAGTAATAGCATCTGTCTTGCCACACAGTTTAAAAATACGTTTATGTATATATGTATATTTATATTTAGCTGTGCTTGTTTGACACTAAGAAATGCAGCCTGTAAAAAGTTAGCAGCAGCAATATTACTGGAAAGCTGCCTGGACTTTCTTGCTTCCCTAGTGCCCTTTACCCAGTACCCCTCTTCAACTCCAAAATTTCCTGCAGATATAACAGGATCTGCAAAGAAAGGAGAAGATGTGTAGTATTTAGGTCTCTTAAATGTATTTTTCAATATCTTTTTATACATGTGTACTAAGAATACACAAAATCTACCAAGGCTGTTCATTCATTAGCTGCCTGGGAGGGTGCTAGCTAACATCTTGCAAGTAGTATGCACTGTCTACATGAGCTTTCTCCAGAGTCTGGAGCTATCTCCTGGAACACTTAGATGCAGAGTTATGGGGCTGGAGAACTCCAGACATATCTTCCCTGTGTTTCAAGTGGAGGTGACACCTCTGGGTGGGTTACAGAGCCTCAAAAGTCCTTGCTGTTTTCCAGGGAAGGCTTGTCCAGCACTAGGACTGCAGTTTGGCCACCCATGCATAATTCTGCTCTCTTGTGCTAAGATTACACCAGTGGTGCCATTTTTCACTGGTGCCCTGAAGCAAAATGAGAAGGGACATCTCCCCCATAGCCTCCCAGCCACCCTCATGGACGATGCTGGTGCCTTTCCCTTCTGTCTCAGGGAGACCTCTCCACCCTGCCAGCTCAAAACAAGCTGGATAATTAGCCAGGTGTGGCTATGGCACATGTTATAAACAGGGTTATCCCTATTATTTGCTGTGCCTGGTTGCACAGGTCCGGAAATCCTCAGCTGGCATTGGAGTCTGTTTGCAGTGAAGACAGCGACAGGCACTGCCATGCAACCTTGTAGCCCAAAACCACCTGCGTGTGCATTCACCTCCCCCTGTGCTGAAGGGCCTGTGTGAGTGGCCCACGGGGGATCAGATGGTGCTCTGTAATCCAGGAGAGCTTGTGATCGAGTTTCCTGTGTTTTTCATTTCTCTCTGCTGAGGCTGAGTAAACACACCCCACGTGAAGAATGTGAAAAGCTGCCGTCTGCTGCATGGAAAAAAGGTTGCTACGGCTTAGAAAGGTGACTGGATTGTGTATGCCATTTCTTGATTTTTGCTTTTTCTTTTTAACAGATGACTGAATGTGTTTTACAGCATGTTCTGCATAAAACTCCACAAAAAATTTAAAAATCTAAATTGCTAAAACCATAGCCAGTTTCTGTACTGAGGACCCAGTCCAGTAGAGTAAACAGAGAGAGGTTGTGAGGAGTGAGTTACCATCTGCCTGCTTGAAATGTCTGGGGTATCACTGAGGGCTTACAGCAAGTGATGCCTTCAGCACTAACTTTACCCGCCTGATAAACAGAAATTTAGCCAGGCAAGGAGCTAGCTTGAGATCTGTCAGATGAAAACAAATGGATTACCAGGCAAGGGTGTCTCCAGAAGATTTAAAGAACTATATACCTTCCCTCCTTTCCAGAAAAACCACCATGCCTTGCACAAAGCAGAAATGCAGACCCTGTATCTTTATGCATTTATGATGCTCTTGATGGTCTCCACCTCTCAGCCAGGAGAATGGAGTGGATTCATCCGTTTTTTATCCACTGTCCTGATGTCCTCTGCCAGCTACTCTTACTTCTTGTAGAGTCTCAGGCTTATGGAGAGATACAGATTCCCTCTAATTGTACCTGGCTAGGGCTGAGTTATTTAGCAAAGGTCCTATCAGACCAGAAAAATCAGCACTCCTCTTTCCTTTGCTCTCCTCTTCTTCTTTCTTCCCCTCACTTCTAAGGACAGATGATTTACTATTGCCAAAAAGTTTTCTAGACCTAAACAGAAAACAAAATATGAAGTAGTCCTGCAAAATTATTTCAAAATAGCTTTGGAGAGCACCTAGGAAGGGGAAAGAAGTCTGTGGGTTTGAACCAAGTTTTTATACATTAATGACTGTTGTTCATTCAGCCGTGATTTTTTTAAATAATAATGGTTTTGCTATAGCTATATCATTTTTTCACACTATCCACTATTATGCAAGATTGGATTGCTTAAGTTGTAGTGCTAGGACAGTTTATTTCATCCCATTTTTCAAGGCCATTGCTGCCTGCACACTCTTAAAATTTGCAGTGCTTCTGTTCCAAACACATATATACCTTGGCAACAATTTAAAAAGAGTCATGAATATAAATGAAAAGGAGGATGTGCACACACACAAAAAACTAATTTAGTGCAAGGATTATCTGGGCCTTATTTAAGAGCGACTACAGAATTTGTTCTGTGGTCCAGCTGATCAGGCAGACACCAGGTACTGCACAAAGTGTTCTTTCCTGCTTCCATAGAGAGTACTAATGTTGAGGAATACAATTAGCTGTCAGGACTATTAATTGCCCAAATTTCTCAAGCTAAGGGGGGAAAAGCTGACTCAGCAAAAAGCACCTGTCAAAGGATGGTGTGCTTTTATTTTCAGCAGGACATAGGCCCACAGGAGACTCCAAAAGGTAAGCAGAATGGAGAAAAATAGAGAAAACCATGATGACTGGTGGTGACAGCAAGGGAATGTAGGTGTCTGGTGCTGCTTGGTCAGCCAGTGATGGTCCTGAAGGAGCCCTGGACAGTGCTGCCTTTCACAGCTCCCTGCTGCTCTCCTGTGTTGCTCTGAAAGCGGCGCTGAAGCAGTGGAGAGTGCCAGCCTTTTCCAAAGGAGGGCTGGCAGACCTCTCTACCCCTGTGGGGGGGTCACCCCTCCCCTCCATGCTCCATGTCAGTGCGCCCCATGAGGTCTCTCCATGCAGCAAATCCCTCCTGCAGCAGTCTGCGGCCTGCACACCACCCCAGCCTTTGCTCGAGTGGAGCGGCGGGTGAGGCCTGAAGGCGTGGGGGAAAAGGCACCCGTGGGCACCCGTTGCCTGTGGCCTGTGCTCCCTTCGCCTCCCTGGGAAAGCAGAGGAGAGCAGGTGTCTCCATAGATGATCCCAACATGTCTGATGGTGCTGCAGCTCCCAAATGCCAGACTGCTGGCCCAGAGCTCTCAGTGTCTGAGGCACCTCCAGGTGCACTTCTAAAGGCATGGTCCTGTATTTTATTACACTAATGGTGCCCTTACCAGCTGTTGTGCCACAGACACTGACACCAGCCTCCTGAGTGTGCAAACAACCTTGATGTTGTTTCTCAGAGCCACAAAACAAGGCTGCTAGATGTTTTTTAACATAGTCTGGGCATTAGCTTCTGCCATCAGTGGCTCTGGATCCAGCAAGACAACTGCCTTGGGCTAGAATGCTGCATCCCTGTGCCCCTGGCTTTCCACACAGCTCCCATCCTCCCTCCATCTCCCCCATCCCTGCAAGCAGAACCACACACCTTGTGAGGACAGGGGCTGTATATAGTTAGATGGCAGCCTCCAAGGAAGCCAGTCTCCCAAACCACAGAATGCTTTGGTCATTTATGAAGTATTTTCCAAAGGAAAACCAGCCATCACTATAACAGCTGCTTCTCCCCAGTGTTTTCAACCAGCTCTCCCTCCCTCTGGGGCTGTAGTGGGACTGCAGCTCCATCCAGGATCAGACCCAGGCATTTTACAGTTCCTAATCATGTTTCCCCACTTTACCACTGCCACAAAGCCACAGTGGAGAGGATGATCTGCACATACCAAGTAGGAAGAGAAGGAGTTAGAGCTGATTTACCCCCTTGGAGGCAAAATGCCTTGCCAGGCAGGGATTGTGAATCACAGATCCTAATAGCAGGCTTAAGGGAGAGAGATGAGGAGGGATTACTTGCCCACATTGGGTTGTTATCCTGGATGTCAAAAGGATCTCTTCAGATAAGGAATGCTGAAGACCAAGTTCCAGAGTGTAGCCCAGGTCCCCAAGCATACTGAAATCCCTATGGCAACTCTGTTCAGAAAGAAAAAGTGATGGAATTGCCATAGATGGTTTGAAGAAAAAAGAAACAGTAGAGGAATGTAAAACATCACCACAGAGAAACATAAAACAGCTCTGGTTTGGCCAGATTGACGAACTTTGAAGAGCTGGTGAAACATGTGCTGACTATGCCTCTAGTGGGCCTCCAGACAAGACCATTCTAGGGAAAAATGCCCTAAAACTGTGTGGTCCTTCTCCAGTAGGCTACACCATTGTATTTGTGTTGTTAAGATAGTCTCTGATTCTGTGCATACATTTTTCTTAAATGTCAAGGACCACTTTCTTGAGCTCCACCAAACTTATGCTGCATGAACATATTTTAAAGCAGATGTAAATGTTCCTATAAATATTAGCAATATAAGAACAGGGGAGTCTGAAAAATTACTAGATAATAGTAATTTTGAAAATGTTGTGGCATCAAATGAATATGATATTTGTGAAAATTGTTTTGCAGTAGTAAATATTTTGGAGCCTGAGTTAACTCCTACTTTAGCACTTACTGTTTTGAAATTACTGACATGGAAATGTATCCTTCCGTGAGAACTAGTTCTAAAAAGTACATTTAACGTGAGTGAACACACAGAATATCCCCGACATGCAGACGAAATTAATGAGATCACTAGCAACATTTAGCACAGTTCATTAGCTATCTAGGCCCAGACAGAGTTGGCTGAATAAGCCAAGCACTCTGTCTGTGCAACGAAATGTGGAGGAAAAATATCCCTCAGGTAGGAGTGGAGCAGATCTGCAGTGTCTCGAGCACAGTGACTGTAACACACCTCTGCACTCCAATTTGATTCCTTTGCACCAGACCCCATGTCCCAAACTGAAGCTTGAATGGGACAAGTAATTTTTCTCTCCATGTAATCCTGGTGGGAGACACAAGGCTCCCTGGGTGAAGTGAAATGTGGTAGTTCCTCTGGTTGCATTTGTTGCTTAAACTGGTCACAGGCTGATACTGTGGGGTTTTCAGTAAGGCTGACAGGAATTTCTGTCCTCTGGATATATTTCAGGGTTTGCTGAAAAAAACTTGTCCCACTTCTCAATAAAAGCTGAAGAAACTAGACACCTTTTGCAGCTAATCTGGGTAAAAGAAAAAAAGGCAGCTGTTGGCACAACACACGTAATTTAGAGCTGGTTAAGAGCCTTTTGGTCTAACAAAAAATTCTCTGATGAAGGTAGAATTTTCTAGAGCAAATCATTCTAGTGGTCAGTTCCCCACTCCTTTCTCTGTTAGCTCTTGTACCTTTCTTTCTGTATTTGAAATATAAGCCAAAAATTATTACACAACCAAACAGAGTGAAAAAAAAAAAACTCTGGAGCCATGGCGTGGAGTAAATGTCACCTGAGTCAACAAAGAGTCCGACAGATGGAGGCTTTAACATTGTTTTTTCAAATTCATCAGTAATTTATTTTTAAAGTAATGACCGTAAATCTTCCTAGAACAGATTGTTTTTCTGTCTGTTATGATTCATTAAACCAGTACGGAATGAGATCATTATCATTTAGGTTAGCATTTTTGAGACTGCCAAATATCCTTCAAGTACTTCCTGCAGCTGGGACTGCAAGCATTGTCCTTGGAGCTGGCAGCCTGCTGGCACCATATCCCGGTCCAAGAGCTTCTTGTGCCTCTGGCTAGCAGCACTGCTGTGCCCACGGGCCCTGCTTGAGTGGGCCACTTTACCTGCCCCTCAGGCAGCAGAAAACTGGAAACTGACTTCAAGATGCAAAGCTTGAGAGTCGATGGAAATAAGCACCTGAAGAGATGCACAACCATCTCCCCGAGGAGCTAGGGCTGGAAACTCTTCTCCAGAGGTGGACTCTCACCCACCTCAGCCTGCAGGTGAGCTGGCTGATTACTGGGACACAGTGGTCATTGATGCCTCTGGATAAATTGCCTCCTCTTGCAAATTCCCACATTGTAAAGCCAAAGGATGCAGCAAGAAGGGTGCCAGCCACAGGAGACAGGTTACCAGAAACAGACTTTTTGCCTTTTAATTTCTTTTTGGTGTATTTCCTGACTGCATTAGTGAAACAACAATGACATAAGGGGCATGATGCAGCAACAGGGAAGACAGAAGCAGGTAAAAGCAAAAGAGACAATGTCATATTTGTTGTAGAAAAAAAGAAAAATGAGCTGGCAGTAAAGGGGAATTCACAAATTATTTGATAAAAAGGCACACAGCCATTCCCTGCCCCCACAACCACTCTGAGAGTCCTCTGACATATGAAGGACATCAAAAGAAGAAAAAAAACCACCCAAAAAGTCAACAAACAAAAAACAAACCACTGCCCCAAATTACAGCAATTACTTGATCAGGGCATTTTCACTTCCTATTTTGGGAGAGAGAAATTCCCCAGGTCATCTGACCTCCTTTGAAACTACACCAGGAAGAGGAGCAGCAGCAGTTGACAAGTGCAGGGCGTTCTCTGGCTGTACAAAAGCCTCCCATGGGTGAGCCAGAGCTCAGAGCAGCGCAGGGATGTGCAGGTGTGTGTACACATAGCAAGGTGAGCTGCGAGTATCCTGCCAGCCAGATCATCTCTTGCACAACTCTCCAGTCCTGTGCAGCCCGGCGGACCTTTCGCTGCTTGTTTCCAAACATGCCTCCAGAACAAACCTTCTGAGGAGCTGTTTCCTCACATGCTGTTTCCTTAAACGCTGCTGAAAGCAGCTCTCTCCAAGACGAGGTGGCAGCTAGCAGCATGGTGGGAATAATGGCAATGAGGACGTGGATTGAGCCGGTGGTCGCGGGTTCCCAGGTGGCCAGTGCCTTCTACGACATAGCGCTGCTGCTGGTGGTGAAGAACTACTACAACCAGACCAACAGCACAGCTCCCGCCCACGTCCTGGAAGATGCTCAGCAGAAGGCTGTATCTAATTTTTATATCATCTACAACCTAGTTCTGGGCCTGAGCCCACTGGTGTCAGCCTATGGCTTGTCCAAGCTGGGGGACAGGATACATCGCAAGATCCCCATCTGCTTCCCTCTTCTTGGTTATTTGGGCTCCAAAACTCTCCTGCTCCTCCTGATTCTGCTGGGCTGGCCAGTGGAGGTGATGTATGGGGCTGCTGCCTTAAATGGGCTGACAGGAGGCTTCACCACACTTTGGGCAGGCATCATGGCTCTGGGATCCCTGGGGTCCTCTGAAAGCAAGAGGTCTCTGCGGCTCATCATTATTGAACTTGTGTATGGCCTGGCTGGCTTTCTGGGAAGCATGGCATCTGGCTACCTCTTTGTTGGCTTCAGCAACCGCTACCGAGAAGGCACCGTGCTGGTGTGCTGCAGCATTGCTTGCTATGCCTTTTGTCTCCTCTACAGCATTTTTGTCCTCACAGTCCCCAAGCCAGCAGCTCCCTGCCCAGCCAAAGCCAAGAGTGCAGAGGAGGTGGGTGGTCAGCTACCAGAAGCAGTGGTAGCAGGGAGCACCCAGCCTTCAGAGAGCAGCATCTTCACTCCAGTGTCACCCTCGAAGCTCATCATCATCCTGCTGTTTGTGGCAGCAATCCTCTATGACCTGGCTGTGGTTGGTGCCATGAACGTACTCCCACTGTTCTTGCTCAGGGAACCTTTAAGTTGGAACGCTGCGGAGATTGGCCATGGCAATGCTGCTGGGTATGTGATCTTCATTACCAGTTTCCTAGGGGTGCTTGTGTTCTCCAGATACATGAGGGATATTACCATGATCATGATCGGAGTAGCTTCATTCAGCGCTGGCATCCTCATCATGGCCTTCGTGCAGTGGACGTTCCTGTTCTACATTGGTGAGTTGAACAGTCATGCACATGAGCAAATACAGCTGAGAAATGGGTGTTTCAACATCACTGAAAGGGCTTTTTGCTTTGCTTTGTGACAAATTTGCAAGCAGGGAGTTAGGCAGATCATCACAGGAACAATTTGCAAGAAAGCATTCTTTTTACTCCTCTTTCCCCACATCTCCCTTAGTACTCTTAAGACTCAGCACACAATATCCTGAGGAGGCATACACTTCTGCCAAGGATTAGTTTAAGGCTCATTGACTTGTAATTCATCAGTTTGTCATAGACCAGATCTGAGCAGTGTTCACACTCTTGGAGACTGGGAATTGTTGCTGAGTCTGTGTACTAGTGGGACTGCATCACTGCAGCAATAGGAAGCACTGGCTTCCTCTGAGGCAAGGCTTAAGGCTACAACAGATGCAAAATGGCAAAGGCTTCCTATTATGGGAACATCTTAAGGTGTGATGGATTTTTATCATATGAAGGCACAGCTGATGGGAAACTTAATGAAACATTGGTGTTGTAAAAGACCACAATAATGTAGTTTACAGATCTCACACTGTTAGATAAATTACTAAGGGACAGGTAACAAAAGATGGGGCAGCATCCCATGATAAAGGAAAGGCAAGTTTACTTCTGGGAGCTGACCTGTGATGAAAAACAAAATCCAAGCACTGCATGCATTGTGCCAGATCTATCTCACAGAGTATTATCTATTGCATGGCTTTAAGGTTTTGTTTCTCAAAATGAGAAAGACACTGGAGATAAACACTCTGAAGTGCTTTTTCTGTCTGTCCCTACAGGGAACAGGGAATTGAAAATTAAACAAAGTTTTTCTAAAGGGAAAGATGATAGGATATTGTATTTGTGTACTAAGCCAAACACTGAGTGATTTTAAGATTTAAGATATAATGTTTGTTTAGCCAATCAAGCTGGGGAAAAAATTAGGTAGAAAATAAAAAAGCTTGCTTAATAATTCAGCTAATTTTCATCCTGAAAGCCTGCTGCTATGCAGTGTGTTGGATGCTTATTCCCTGCATTGCAGAAACACCTTGGTACACTAGACATGGACCAAGTCTTCACTGAAGCTGGTTTTGCTGACAGGAAGGTAATTCCAGATCCCCACAGATTTTCACAGTAGAGACAGGCTAGAATACTGCAAGCCAGAAGCACCGAGATGCAAGACAGATGCAGTGTTATGAATGTACTGTTCCTGTCAAGGCTGTGTAGCACAGAGGGCTCTCTGCATGTTAAAACTTAAATCATCATCCTCATGGATCTCAAAGAAGAGGGAGGACCCCATCTATGCTGGGATGTCTGGCTGAGAACAAGAGACTGTGTCTAGTTTGGGCAAAGGACCTCTGATAATGGGAGGTGGCTTTTTTTAGCAGAGAAATGGTGAGACAAGGTGTCTGTCCAAGCCAGTGGCGTATAATCTTCAAAAGCAGTGGCTGTGCTGGATCACAAAGAGCAGACACTGGTGATAACTCAAAATTCATTGCATTACAGCACGGGCAGTGATGCTCTTCGCCCTCATCCCCTTACCAACCATCAGGTCCATGTTGTCTAAGCATGTTGAAGGATCATCCTATGGTGAGTATTTTGGTTACCTTACCAACCAAAACCCCCTGAAATCCCTTTATTCAGCCTAGAGTACTAAGAGAAAAGTAAGTTATTGCTGCAATCTGTGCTTTGTGTAATAATACCAGAGGAAATGATACCACAAACAGGGAGGGAGAAGCAGAGAAACTTGCTGGACAAGATTCTCACATCCAATCTTCTTGTCCTTGGTTGCATCATCATTTATCAACAGAATTTTCAGCACATACTTCAAAACATTACAATCAGTGCATAGTTCAAAGGTAGGGAAAATAGCTGAGGTGCTTCTCAAAAACACAGTACTGCAGGGAGAACCAAGAAAAGCAGGACATTGAGTTGAAGTCACACCATTTATATCTGGCTTCTTTTACCTCCAGCTTTGGGAAGGATGGATTATTTTAATCTATTTTTCAGTTATGCTCTCTAAACATTTCTTCAGGTGTTTGCAATTTGTTCCTGTCACACTTAATTTAACTACAAAGAATAACTTTTGCATAAAAATTGACCTTTCTTGGAATAGAGGCTGGAATTCTTTTCCATTAAATTACATATTAAAAATTAGTAAAATGTATTTTACAGCAGCATATTAAGGCCTACCATTTTTACCTTACCCCAATGAGCTAGATTTAGACACAAGATACAGGACTGGCCATTCATTCAAACAGCACCACAGGCCCACAACTGCTCATGCCTCCTCGAAACAAGTTTCCTCTGCATCCTTCACATCCTTTTCCTTTCAGCCATACGAACACAACACTGCTCTGTCACCAGTTCATTCCTACCGCTTGTGCTCCCTCAACATCCACCATAGCAAAATCATCTCCCTGCCACAAACAGCACAGCTCACATCCCAAATAATTCACTATAAATGAAACCTTTTTAATCTCTATCTTGAGCCATATGGGCTGCACATGACGATGGTGTCAGCCCAGACCAAGAATAGGACCCTGCCACAGAGCAGCACTTGCCTTCTGGTCGCAGTTTCATCTCCTGGTGCTGAGTGGCTGCAGAATGCTACAAGGGCAGCAAGCTCAGCATACAGCCCTGACCTTGCCCCCAGTCTGCGAGTCCCTGCCGGGCTGGGTTATTTCCCTTTCACCCATTTACCATGACAGAAACCCTTCAGTAAAGAGTGGTTTCAACTAGAATTCAGTTTCTGCCTTTCTTCCACATGAAATATCATACAAATCACACACACATCCCCATTTCAGGCATTATTGTAATTTCAATCCTGTGAACCACTTTTCTGGCCTAGGCCAGAAGCAGACCCTTACTCAAATGTCTCCTGTCCTGAAGATGACAGCTCTAGACTATTTTTCTACCTCTAGGAAAAGGAGCACTTATTGAGCAGTTTATTGCTGCTGTTACAAGTAGCTACCTTTATATGTAGACTGTTTAGGCAGACAGTTTTCCAGTTGAATCTTTTGTCCAGTTGAATCTTTTGTCCGACGCCTAAAAGGAAAAATCATTTAATTGTTGTCTAGAACAGAAGCAGATACAAGCTCATGCCATCTGGTATTAGCGGAGCAATGACTACACAATTGTGATTCTGGATTTGTCAGAGAGATACCACAGCTGGTTTGTTAATCTCCAGCAACAAACTATGTTCTTGTCTTACAGGTAAGGTGTTTGTCCTGCTGCAGCTGTCTTTAGTCACCACGGGAGTAGTGACATCTACAGTCTACAACAAGATCTATCAAAACACACTGGACTGGTACAGCGGCTTCTGCTTCATTTTGTCTTTTCTAGTCGGCTGCCTGAGTCTCCTCCCTTTAAGGTAAGAAATGGGAAAGATTTTGTTGAAAAAGACATGCTGTATTTTCTCTGTACTTCCTGATTCTAAAATTTATAAAGCAGATAGGAAAGAATTTTAAAAAGAAAACAACACCCCACACCAACCGAATTTTTAAAAAAAGGGAAAAAACCAAACTTGCAGAAATGAGTTGACAAATATCAAAGAGATTCAAAAAATGAAAGTTGCAATGTCTAGCCAGTGCTTTTTTAAATCTTATTTTTGTTTAATGTAACATGAATTGCTGTAGGAAGAGTATCTGGCAGTTTAACAGATAATCCCAGGAGACAAAGCACTCACACAAATGTAATTGTTTGGTACTGTGAAAATAGTAGTAAGTGGAATGAAAGAATGACCCTACACAAAGTAAAATGTTTTTTAAAAATTCCATTATATGTTACTTATCCATTGAGAAAAGAATAATTTCAGTCTTCCTCAAATGTTTCAAAGAGACACTATTACCACAGTGAAGGAAAATTGAAGGAAAATTCTGGTCCATTGAATTTGCCCAACTGTACCACCATGGAGTGACTGCTGCGAAATACAATTTCAGGAACAATTTTTAACAAAACCAGTTTAATTTGAAGAGAGAAAGCTGAAACAACCCCTCCACCTACTTTTACAGAATTTTTGAAGGATCTCCCTCCAAGTCTCACTTTGTCTATTAGAGCCTCCCCAAGACTCTCCAGCTTGTTGCTTTACCAAAAACGTCAAGATTCTTTCTGTATGAAGTGAACTGTGATAATGTCAGTATTTAATCCACTTAAGAAGAATATCTTCATTCAGATGTAAGGCATGTACTGGACAGGCTAATGCTTGACTCTAGGCAAAATTCTTGCCTAGATCTGTTGTAGTTTAAGCAAAATAGAGTAGTACAAAGTCTAAAAGCACAATGTATACTGACTTCAGCTGCACCTCCTAGACAGGAAGCAGAGCCTGTAAGGAAAGCTCCTCCACCACCACCTCTGTTTCATCCAGAGCACCAAAGGATTTCTGGGGTTGTGAATGCATTTGACAATCAGTGACTTCAGGACTACTAGTGTGAGGAAGGCTACTTCTACTCATCATTCCCCTGGCTCTGCTTTCCTTCTCAGATCTTCCAGACACTAAAGACTTGTTTCTTATATGCAACCCTCTCTCTAGAGGGGTCACTGCTAGCTACTCAAATGCTTTTTAATACAGGTTTCAAATAGAAGCACCATTACCAGTACAAATACAGGTTATTGAAGTGAGGGATGACAGATGGTGCCAATGTCGCTGAATGCACACAAGAGCGGCTGGCAGACCATTGAGAGGAATGCCATTAGCATGCAGCCAGCTCCAGATACCCCAGCAAAGTTTAGGATATAGATGTGGACAGAGCAAACTAAGTTTGAGAAGGTAGTTTGCTAATTCTTATTATCTGCATTTTTTATTGTTCTTTACAGCTTTGTGGCCATCAAACAAAGGTCAACCACTGGATCCCTTGAGATTCTGACTGAGTAACAGAGGCATCTTCTGGTTGTTATCATTAGTCCCTACCAACACAATAGGATACAGAGCATTTGTATTTCCACTTCACAGCATGCCACAACCTCTCAGCCATTAAGCCTCTCGCCCAAGAAGAGATGTTTGCCTTGTTATTTCTGCAGCACACACCCCATCCTGTAGAGTATGTGCGTTAGCTATTGCACACCAGCAGTCCTCAGAGCATTCTCCTCTTTGCTATGCTGGTCAGCAATACCAAAGACGCACAAGGATATAGGCTAGAAATGAAAGTGTCATTTCCAGACACATCGTTCAGAGTGGAAGCGGAAAGCAGAGGATTGGTTTTCCATTAGTTCCTTCTTGTTTGTTCATTCAGAAACCTCAGGGCAGTTCTGTGACTCTGGCTGATGAAACAGAGCTGCAAGCCACATGCCACATGCACAGGTCCATCAGCAGGACACACCAGCTCACCATCTCCGGCAGATGTTATCAGCCCAGCCAATTAATGTTATGTACAAGACCATTAAATAGAGAAATAACACCATAAAAATATGTAAGATTAACAGAACTTTAGTAATCCCTACAATAAAACACCCCTGAACAGATGTTCATGTCCCTGATTTCTGGGAGAATGTCACACTGGACAGTGCTTCAACAGAGCTCATGCAAGGACTAAGACTCAAGAGCTAATGCTGGTGTTTCAACTCACACCACCACAATGTGCTACTCTTGTCACAGGTAAAGAACAGCTAAGTGCAGCACACAGCTCCTACAGGATTTATGGAATTGTAGGGACTCTAATACCATGTAATAGTTACTGTGTTACCAAAGCTTTTATCTGGGTTGGAAAGGAACCTCATACAATACAGCAGCTAGCATGAGATGATGTCACATAAATCCAAACATCAGTCAAAAGTGTGGCATGTCTGACAAGGATGTGTCTGCTTACATGCTAATTGACTAGAGGCTTCCAAGGTCCTGGACTAAGTAAAGGGAAGTTAAAAGCCCTTAAATAACTGAAATAATCTGGAGGCAAATCAGGCAGCTTCAGTTTGAGCCAGGGGTATAGCAAGCAGAAGTTGGCTTACCATTACACAATCCCTGCCTCTGAGGAAGTTGCTGTCACCCTGTCCCCCCCCATCCATTCCTCCCTCCAATCTTTCCTCAGCTCCTTCACTTTCAGTACCAGAAGTAATGCAACAACAGGTCAGATGATTTCTATTTAGATCAACCATGGAAGATTTTAGGGGAAGGGAGTATTTCTGCAGTAAGATAGTGAGCTGCTTAACAAAATAAGTATTTCTGCAGTAAGACAGTGAGCTGCTTAACAAAATAAACACATGCATCATTTCACCAGGGAAGACCACAAAAAATGAAACTTTATTCTAAGTAAAGGAGTCATCTTTTAATACATTTATTGGTCCATTCCATTAAATTAATTGAGGTAAACAAATGGTGCATTTTAAAAAAAATTACACAGTAATATAGAATTACAAACAGTTTTACCTCAAAGCATTTTTCTCCATCAATACTATCTCCATAGTAAACAATGCACAAAGTATATTTAAAGAGATATATGAAAGGGTATAGAAACATGCCAGCACCAGAAGGCAAGACATTTCCTAGCCTGTGAGTCTGAACAAGAGCATAGTTGCCAGATTTGACCAAGTACAGGAAACAAAAGCCTCCTTCCCATTTTTACATTGTTTACTAGCTAATTCACACAGAGACAAGTATTTTCACAGCTTTCATTTTGTATTTTAATGGTATGAACAGTGACTCTAGTTCTGGTGAGTGGGTTTAGAGTGAAAGCAGAAGAGTCTGGACAAGGAACCAGCACCAAACCAGTCAGTTTGGTCCCCATCACTGATACCTTCCACACAGTGTGTGAAGTTCACAGCCAGCTTGCCTTCACAACTCTCCAGACCTTAGGGAGGGACAGAGGGATACAGGCACAGAGAAGCGAGAGCAAGGACGGTGCTTCTTTATTTTTGTGTTCTGTACAAAAGCCCTTTGGCTCTTATTTTAAGACTGGCCCTCAGCAACTTGTCTCTTTGTGCAGTAGGAATGTTGCACTGGCCACAACGCTGCAGCTTGATCTGAAGGTATGGATACACATCCCAGCACCAGGTTAAGGTAATGGTTTAGCTTCAAAGCACGGAATACCAAGACCTTCAAAGTAGTCTAGGACAGTGACTAGCCTTGTCTTAGCATGCCATTTACATAAAGGTGATCTACTTGTGCCTCTTTGGAAAGCTCATTATTTTCTGCAAATTTACTGTGCTTTAGGCACGCAACCTTAAAACCTCTCCAGTTCTTTACTAAGTACTTCTACAAGTCAGATACTTCAGCAGGACTTTCAAGTGCTAAGCAGAGAAATAAGCACTGCCATTTTCGTTTGTAAATTGTTCAACAGCACTCCCAAAAAGTTTTAAATGCCACATTCAGTTTGCCAGAAGGTAAGTTTATTCCTGTGATCCCCAGTTTTACTTCACAAGAGGAAAACAAAAATCCAACAAGTAGTAGCAACTTGCCTGTCTTTAAAAAAAAAGTCCTGATTTTCCCTATGTGTTGTTGTAGTAAAAGTTTAATACACCCAAGGAAAGAATGTTCTACCTTCAGAATTTAAGACGACAGAACATCTAATGAGCTAATTTAATCTATACAATTTTGTACAGTGATAATCAGGACAAGGATTTTCAACAGTCTGCAACAATAATCATAATGATATCCAGTTAAATTGCGCAAGTTTAACAAAAGCATGGCTCCTGTTAAAGTAATGAACGGTCCCTGCTATCTGGGATAGAATTATTTAGGACCCTTGCATCTGCAGCACTGACAGGTGAAGAAATGTTTCATGAACAGGCTATGCAGAGCCACTGCTTCAAGGCTACTGCACAGTGCCTTCACAGAACTGTCTCTGCCACTCCTGCTTTGTTTCTATCAGTTATTCCACTACTTTATCCTCAGAATAAGTTTTAGTGCAGCAAAAATCCAAGTAGATTGAAGAATCCATACTTTATTCTTTAATATAATTCACACCAAAACTCTTTGTGTCTTTAGGGCTACACATATTACCTTTTCATTTTTCAATGTATACCTGAAAAAGCCATGATGTTTTAACATCTATGTTTATTGCAAGATTTAGATCCTGATAAAGGTATACATGAACAATGCATGGTTCATTACTGAGCATAGAAATGAGCTCAGTGCCTGCTTTATTGTGCTGGTGCCTCTTAACAGAAGAAACAAACACCACAGAAACTATACAGAAGTAACTGGGCAGCAGTGAATTATGCATCCCCTGCGAGGGCCTTGCCCCGGTTATAGATTATGAGGAAAACTGGGCTGATTTAAGGACTGCTGAAAGAACCACATTTTAAACAGGTTCATAAAAAGGGCACCAACTACTTTTGCTGTCACTTTGGTGCACATGCAGAGAGTCATCTTCAGTGACTTAACATTCAACAAGTGACTCAAAGATGAAGCTCCTGCAGTATTCCTGCTTCCCTTCACCAACACCTTCTGTTTCTCCCAGGCAAATGTAGACCATCCAAAGTAAAGACTCATTCTACAAGGACGACAGGATTACATATTAAGAGTTTCACTGTCAGTTCAGGACTCAACTCCCTTCTAACAGCAGTTATGTGATACAAGTGTCACCCTGCATCTTACAGGAATTTCCTGCAACTTTTGTATTCTTCCTGACTGGCATGGTTGCCCCAAACATCACAATCAGGATCCTCCCCACACCTCACCCACAGCCTCTCCCTCAGTCACCTTGTGATTTACAACAGCTCTTCATAAGAACAGATCACTCCACAGTCTGCAGGCACTGAGACCCACCTATGCACACCCTTATTACACTGCAGCAAATCCTCTTGCAGAGGATTCTTCCTTTGAATGCCAAGTTTTACTGCCTTTGTAAGAGCTTAAGAGGTTTCGGTCCAGATCACGTAAGGTAGCTCGATCTTCAGCAGCTCCAGCCTCAACAGTTACATGCTGATTTGAGCTTCACTTGGCACTCTCCACTGTCCATTATGCTTCTCTTGAACAGCTGTGATGTTAATTGCTGAACTCCCCAAAAGCAACACCCATTTCAGTTTGACATAAAGCAAAGCAGGAAGACTCCCCTAGTGTTGTAAGGCATCAGATGAAACCACCTGTAGGAAAGAAATCACCATTCTTTCTACTCATCTTGTGCTGTTTATTTTACTAAGATGGTGGGAAGACTGACTAAATAATAGTTCAAGGTATATTTTGCTTGAATCCCAGTGATGTTGTAGAGTCAATAACAAAATTCCATTTATTCCACGTTCTTTTTGAACTAAGTCAAAAAGCATGTTCATGTTTCTTCGTGGAAAATGGGGAAGACTGTAACCCTGAAGGACAAACTGTTGGATAGTATGCAAGTGCTTATTCTAGATTGCTTCAAGATGATGCCCTTAAGTACTTCCCCAGAACAAGGGGAGTCTGTGATTCTGAACCTAACAGTAACTTAAACCAGAGTTCTCATTTACACCAAAAAGTGCATATTGACAAACTGATCTTAAACAAGAAACATAGTTTGTTTAGTACCACAGAGCTGACAATAAGATTGAGCAAAAAAGAAAAATTTCTTAAAATGTCTTATATTTTACTTTTTCATGCAGAGAGCACCATCTCATTAGCCTGACAGCTACCACAGTGCTGCAATAACTCATCTTGAGAGTTCCATAAAGCCACCAGGCTGAGAAGGGTGGCTGCATGTTCAGTTGGTCTTTATGAAGGAATAAATTCCAAATCAAACTAGTACCTGGTGGGTACCTTGTTACAGGAGAGCAGAGTAGTTGCACAAAATCAATCACTGCTCACATTCTTTGCAAGAACGTTGCCAGAGAATAAGTAATCACTCCAATTTAGAAAGTAAGCACAGAGTTATTTATTGCCCTTAATCCCAGTATTACACTCATATGAGTCCCAACCCCCCTCACTAGGATTGTTAAATCACGGCAGCATAATGGCCTAAGGCCATTAACACCAAGCAGGCATTTACTTGAGGTTGGATTGCAAGAGCAAGGACAAAAAAAGGACTTGCAGAAGCAGTTGCAATTCTAAAGGCTAACAGAAATTACTAAGAAAATAGATCTGTAACAAAAGTAGCCCTAAAAAACTTGCCATGTGGTTCAGCAGAGACAGGTATGAACCTAATAGGGTACCCATCTATCCCCCACTAACCCATTTAAGGCAAGTTTCACACACTCTGATGCTTGGTGGAAGGAAGCATTTGACACCTTTTGGCTTTTGGTTGCTGCAAAGAAAGCGTGGAGAAAGGAAAGAGTTCTACTTTTACTACTGCAGACATCTTAGGTGACCAAGCCTAAAGTGGCTCTAGTAAAACCCATATATAAAGCATGGTGTAAGAGATCTCCACCATGCAACTTCCAGAGCTAGCTTTGGAAAATTAAAGACCCATCCTTCCCCATTCCCACAACCCCTGAAAGGCAGCAGTCCAACTCGTTCCCGTAGCTAAGCTGGTTTTGATCCCCAAGTCAGTCACAAGTACACTTCAGTCAACTGACATTACTTCATAATCACCAAGGTAAACAAAGATACTCAGTATGAACCAACAGCATGCCACACTCACAAAAACCACAGTTCATGCTTCCATCACCAACCATCTGCAGCTGGTGTTGGTATGGTCTGTCTAGAACCAGCCTGACTCCTGGACAGAAAAGTCTACAGAGACCATTTCATCCAGAGGGAGCACACGGGTGGTAGTAAAACAGAAAATAATCTCTCCCAGCCTTTCTTTATCCATTCAGGAAAAAAAAAAAAAAAAAAAAAAAAAAAAAAGGAGAAGATTTGGTTAGGGAGTAATGTAACATAGGAATATTTTTTTTTCCAAGCAAACAAAACAGAATGGTAATAAAGATGTCATTTGGCACCTTGCAGTAGAGTTTTATTTTCATCTTTTTAGTGTTCCACTCATCAGTTCCTTCCAGACTAGAGAGGTAAATTTTATCAAGATCCCCATGCACTTTCTCTGTGAACCCCAATCACTCCATAGAATAAAGAAGGAACCATTCAAGATAACTCAAAAAGATGAAACATACCCCAGTTTAAACACAAAAATTGAGGAAAAAAATTCAAATAGGCTGGAACAGATACTCTGAAAAACTAAGTGCAGCTGTCATTCAGTTAACTTAACAAAAAGAGTCCTCCATACAGTTCCAGTATGACTAGTGGTACTGAGCACAGAAGTGCTAGACTGTCCATGAAGGTACTTCTTATTTGGTCTCTGGCTTGTCTTGCAATAGTGGTATAATTGACTCCCACGCCGTAAGGCACTGAAGAAAGAAAGATTTACAAAATTTAATTTATATCAGTTCATGTGACTTCTGATCAACCCTTCCAGACCAACAGCATGCAAGTGGAAGAAAAGTAATGTGGGTCTTTACAGATTATTACAGAAAGGGGAAAAAACCCCAGAATGTCAAACAGCAAGGAAGCATTAGAACAGCTGAACCTTCCCAACAAATTCAACAAATTCAAGTTTTCCAAAGTCATTAGCTGGCCCAAGCCATTAAAAATCATCAGAACATCCAGGATTTCCAAATACTAACCTAGATTTTTCTAGCTAAAGAATATCACAGCTTTCAGCTAGGCAGATGAACTGTTTTGAGTAGAAATGTACATCTTTGTGGCGTGACTGTTGGTGAAGGCTGATTTGGACACAATGGCAGCTATTACAGACTACCTCCAGCAAACTTATTTGAAAGAAAACATGCATTTAGGGAAGTTAATTCTGAGACACAGTGTATTCCAGTATGGCTATGAGACTCAATTACACTAGAGGACAAACTGGTAGTGCCTGGTATAGTGAATTATAAGTGTAGCTTCTGGGTTATTAGAAAGCCACTCCAGGCTTTGGAGTTGTTTCCCCAGACACATACACTTATTACAATCCTTGTACTGTATGTTGTTACTGTCTTTCAACCACAAAGAACCCACAAGTCAAACTGGGCAAATGCAGACCGTGGAATCCAAATTATTAAATGCTGAAATTGGGCAAACTCATCAGCAGCTCTTATATCCACAAGTCATTGTTGACAGACATCCTCCTTCTAACCTTGCTGATTGCACTGCAGATGAATAGGGTACTCTTAGTTGTGTACCTTGAAGTGACTGGACACTTTCTTACCAAAAAACCCTCATTGCTAAAAGCCAAACTAATGTACAGGTCTAACTGTCATTGCAGAGGCACTACTGGATGTTCAGTGAAGTCTCTAATATTCTCCTCCACAGCAGCCTTAGACCTGAGAGACCAGGGTGAAGGAAGTTCTGTGTGAGCAGTTATGAACTATGATTGGAAGGGGAAAAGGTACTGCATATAATATTACATGGAGAGGTAACCTAGCACAGGAAGAAGCTTGTAAAACAGATGTGTAAACATGAACAGACAAGATTAAGTATAGTTTACTAGGCAATGCATAAGCCTAGTAGTTCTAGCAGTGTTTAATATTTCATAAATATTTAATACACCTAAAGGGGGCTTATGAGACAGTTGGAGGAGGACTTTTTACAAGGGCTAGTGGTGATAGGAAAAGGGACAGTGCTTTAAACTGGAAGAGGGCAGGTTTAGATTAGACAATTAGGAAGAAATTCTTTACTTTTAGAATAAGAAAACACTGGAACACCCTTCCCTCAGAAGCTGTGGATGCCCCATCTGTGTAAATGTTTTTGGTTCATACTGGATGGGGCTCTGAATCACCGAGTCTAGTGAAAAGCATCCCTACCTCTAGCAGTAGGTAGACACTTACATGACCTCTAAGGTCCCTTCCAAACCATTCTGTGATCTATGGTATCAACCACTGCACAGGGCAGCACTGTTCTAGCACAAAGGAAAGTTAGATTGGAAGCATATGCAGTTAAATGTCAACATCCTTTTAATTAAAAATTAAAAAAATCTAACACTAAACCTCAGGTGCAAATGCACCAACTGAAAAAGGGCAGAGGCTAGGTGTTTTCAGGACTAATATACAAGGGACAGAATGATGCACAAAGGGACAGGAATTAGAATAGCTTATACATAGCAGATGTAATCTATATATGAGTCTGTGGCTGTGCATTAACTCATGTAGTTTTGTTCAGAAAAGGCAGAATCAAGGGATTTTTCTACTCTGGTAGTACTACTAGTATGTGCAATTCTGGGGTTTTTTTAATCACTACTGCTGCTGCTCAGTAATTTGTTCAATTCAAAAGTGCAAAACCGACAAGCATGCATGATAAAACGCTGTTAGAGTGCTGACTTGCAAAAGACCACTAGTCTTACAGAGTTCACTTGACCACACCTTCCAACTCTGACAAAGAGCAGCTTCAGATGTCTAATATTCTTGTCTTCAAGACAGTGTGAAGATTTCCTGAAGAATTATCACAATTTCAGAGGAAAATATACTACTCTCATTCCGGCCAGTGCTCCAACAGTGACACGTACCTTCTCGTAGTACTGGATGTTTTTATCTGCCATCCCCATGAGTAGCTGCCTAAAGTCTTGTCTTTTGTTGTTCTGCCATCTCTCCATATCTGCTTTCAAGTCAGCATTGAAACATTCTACTCGGTCTTGACATTTCTCAACATCTGCGGGTACCTGCAGCAAGATAAATGAAGATTAAAACTGTCAGTAAGAGTGCTAAATTGTTGAATTAGCTCAAACCTTACTGAGCAGAACTACAGAAGAAAGGGTAAGTTCACAAAGCAGTAGTTATCCTGAATCAGCTGAGTTATGGCTGCAGGGAAAAAGCCATGGTTCTGAACTAGAGAGGATAATGAGATTGCTTAATTTGTTTGCTGCTTTTTGAGGTGCTTTTTTGAGCGCTTGTGCTTGTCCATCTCCATGCCAGATAGAGAGGCGTGGACGAAGCACCTTTTAAAGGCACAGGAAAACCATTTGGCATAAGTAGTGGTACTGAAGGTCACTTTCTAGTGCTCAAACTAAGCAGCTTGGCTCCACAGCAAGCTTTTCTGCTTCCCATTTACAGCTTCAGTAGGAATGCCCCAATTTACACCAGTGTGTATATAACAACAACATTTAGGTTTATCAAAAAAGGTGGATACATCTTGGTATTGACAGCTGCAGAATAAAATTTCTAAGGCCTTAGTTTCTAGCTTCCATTTCAACATTCCAGGCTTTCTGAACAAAATTTAACTGCACAGCACTCGTGATCATCAACATGGGATTGGCTTATGGACTTTTAGGCTCAACAATGGACATGCAACCATGCAAAAGCAACAAACGACATCTTGAAGGACAGCCTGCTGCAAGCTGAGGTAGAGATTTAAATGATTTTTTGACAGTAGTCACTCGCCTACCTCTAGACCAATTCACTTAGTTGGTCTAAAGGTACACACACTTTAGACCAACTAAGTTGGTGTTCTTTGCTTATGTTTTAACTACTGTAATGTATATCAGCAGGCAAATACAGGAATAATTTACTAGTGTTTCCTCAAGCAGGAAAGACAAACACCTTTTTTCCCCTTCTCATTGCTCCATGGTCCACACAGACAGGAATCCTGTAAGGACATACCCATGAGCGCAGAAGAAGAAACTCCTGAATCCTGGTACTAAAGTGAGAAGTGAAGGTTTGCTCTGAAAGCTGTGACTTGCACAAAGACAAAATACAGAATGAAGAACATTTGAAGAACTTTGTGGTAGCTCCTCTCGTACTCGATAGTTTATTAGCAAACTCCCTTTCTGAAGGGTTTGAAAGAAGGAAGAGGATTAACAGACTTCATAAGAAAGAAGCTTTTCATGGATACCTACATGAAGTTTGAGGTGGGCTACTATCTTGCAGTTTGGCATGGTACTCAATTTAGGCAGAACACACTGACTGTGTTTCTGCTCCAGGACATGGATTAGGACTGATCACTTTAATACTCAAAAAAGGTCTTACATCTGTTCTTCAATAAACCAAGCTGTCTGACATGCAGGAGCTCTTTACACTCATGGGATATGAGTTCCCTTTTATTCACACAACTGAATTTACACTACAGGCAGCTTGGAGGTTCAGTAGATACTTCTTCTCCCTGCCATGTCTGAGCACTCTACCTATGGCTACAGAATTCACTCTGCTACAACTCCAGATGAAGTTTCCTCACAGGCTGCAGACAAGAACAACCAAGCCAGTGACTGTAAGATTTAGGAGATGCTCCCCTCAAGGTATGTATGCCTTGCATCATAAGTACTCTGCTATCTTAATGGGGAAAGCTAGGCTATCAAGAGAAATATTTATGAAGTCTGGAAACAAAACCACACAAGATTTCCCAGTCTAACTAACCTAGCTTCTAAGCACTCACCAGCTCCCTGCTTCTTCTGCCAGGATCTGAAACCACAATGAAGACATGCAGAAATCTGTTCTTTCTCAGAGCAAGTCTCTGGCTGGTCAGGCTGAGAGGGCTGTATGAGTTTAGAGCTACAGGGATAACTCAGTGGTCAGGAAATGCGTCACGTGTGCTCTCATTAAGAACAGCAGCTATCTCCAACTAAGTGTCCAAAGACATCATGACAATAGTGTCTGCACATGCAGCAGTCCTATCTGGGTGTGCAAATGCCTTACCTGACAAACTGCAGCTTCCTAGTACATAAATTGCAATTCAGTAGTTACAACAAAATTTGAAGTTAATTAACAGCATTTAAGCACTTTGTATCAGTGAGAACTTAAATGCAAAGAGATATTATATGTTTGTCATCAAATTTAGCCTAAGTTGAAGCATCAAAGCTGATACTTTTATCTGTTTTTACCAATGGAGACACTAAATATTAGCTAACAACTAAGAACCAGGAAGACAGTAGATTG